GCACACAAAGAACAAATACCTGCAACGCGACGCGTATGAGGGGTTGTCAATCCCTCTTTCGGGTAACATCGCCAAAAATTGTCAAGTTGACGAGATAAAATTTGTGATAGATTGGATAAATAGATCTCGATAAAATGCGAAATAAAATATGCAAATAAAAAGTGCAGCAAAGTATTTTTGGAGTTTTAGAATAATAGATTTGGAAAAAAAAGAAAATAAAAATAGATCTCAGAGGCAAATATTAGATCAGAAAGCAAATATGATAATGAATAGAACCGGAGGCTGTAGAGTTCACTAGTGGCTTCTCTCAAGAAATAGCACATGGTGGGTAAACAAATTATTGTTGGGCAATTGATAGAAAATCGAATAGTTATGATGATATCCAAGGCAATAATCAATATATAGGCATCACGTCCAAGATTAGTAGACCGGCTCCTGCCTGCATCTACTACTATTACTCCACACATCAATCGCTATCCAACATGCATCTAGTGTATTAAGTTCATGAAGAAACGGAGTAATGCAATAAGAACGATGACATGATGTAGACGAGATCTATTCATGTAGGAATAGCCCCCATCTTGTTATCCTTAATAGCAACGATACACGCGTGTCTTGCTACCCCTTCTGTCACTGGGAAAGAACATAGCGCGATGGAACCCATCACAAAGCACCTCTTCCGATGGCAAGAAATATCGATCTAGTTGGCCCAACTAAACCAAAGATTCGAAGAAGAAATACAAGGCTATAAATTATCATGCATATAAGAGATCAAAAGAAGACTCAAATAATATTCATGGATATAGATCTGATCATAAACTCAAAGTTCATCAGATCCCAACAAACACACCGCAAAAAGAGTTACATCAAATAGATCTCCAAGAGACCATTGTATTGAGAATCAAAAGAGAGAGGGAGAGAGAGAGAGAGAGAGAGAGAGAGAGAGAGAGAGAGAGAGAGGAAGCCATCTATCTACTGCCTATGGACCCGTAGGTCTATGGTGAACTACTCACACATCACCGGAGAGGCACCAATGAGGATGATGAACCCCTCCGTGATGGTGTCTAGATTGGATCTCGTGGTTCTGGAACTTGCGGTGTCTGAAATTGTGTTTCGTTGAGGGTTGTACCCACCTCGGGCCTCCCCTCTAGTACTTCTTTGACCCACTGGTGGTCTTCTGGTCCAAAAAAATCTTCAAAAATTTTCGTTGTGTTTGGACTCCATTTGGTACTGATATTCTGCGAAGTAAAAAACAAGCAAAAAGAACAACTTGCACCGGGCACTATGTCAACAAGTTAGTCCAAAAAATGATATAAAGTTGTTATAAAATGATTCTAAAACATCCAAGAATAATTATATAATAGCATGGAACAATAAAAATTATAGATACGTTGGAGACGTATCAGGCCCTGGCAAGGAGCAGCCCACCAACTGTCTCAGGTAGGCCCGGAACTAGGGGCGGCCCACAAGCCCGAACCCGTCGTGCACCAGGGGCTCCACACTCGCATGAAACCATAGCGTCGCCCCCCATACCAGCTAGATCCGAGGACGACGACAGAACCAGGACCGAGACCGGGGAATGAGGAGAGCGCGACGACTGCGCGGGGGAGGAGAGGGATAAGGATTCGCAAGAACCAAGGATGCCCGCAGAGGAGAAAGGGGCCGAGAACTTACCAGTCCGTCGAGAGTGCCGCGAGACCACCGCTGTCCATCCCATGTCGGCCACTTGGGTCGCATGCCCGCCGGGGGTTAATTTGTGGCGCCTACAGTCACCACGCGGATGGGAGAGAGGAGCAGGAGCCGCCCGCGGCAACTCTGGGAGATCCAAATCTGAATCCCCATCCTCATCGGCTAGCGCCAAGAAGCGATTGGACGACGATGGCATGCCATCTGGAATGGGTGAGGAGAAGAGCAGAGGAGACAGGGAGAAGCGACACCGCATTCGGGAAAGAGGGGCCAGAGGCAAGGCCGGCGAGGATGGAAGGGCGAGGGACCGGCGAAGAGGGCCAGAGACAAGAGGGGAGAGAGGGAAAGGAAAGCCATCGACCCCCACCCTCCTCCCTCGTCCGCGGGGATCTCTCACCGGCTAGCTGGCTCGGAGTGCCCAAATCTGAGTAAAATCATGTGTCTGTGTTACCATCTCTCCTAGATGCCTACCTTAGAATCCCTATCTCAGAATCTAGCAACTCAGGTTCCATCATCGTGGCGCTTCTCATGGCGAGCTGAAATAGCTAACTACCTAACTAAAATAAACATGAGTTAAAGAATTGGATGTGGACATGCACACGCTACGAGCCCTACTATTCAGCTAACTATCTGATCTAGGCTAAGAGCATCTCCAGCCGCGCCCCCAATAGGCCCCCCAGGCCACTTTTTCGGCGCCGGCGCCAAAAAAACGCCCCAGTCGCGCCCCCAGGACGCCGAAAAATCGCCGGTTCGGCCCTTTTTTCCGCCCGGCGGTCACAGGCCGAACCCAGCGCACTGGGGGGCAATTGGGGGCTCCGACGCAAGGGAAAAGCGCGGCTGGCCCACATCGTCAGGGGAAAAGTCACGGTTTTCTTCCCTGACTCACCTCCCACCCCCCGCACCCTCGGCCGCCACTAGCTATATCCCGGCGCCGCCCGCCGCCCTTCACCGCTAGATAGCCATTCCCCCCGAAAAAATAGCAGAGCTTCGCCACGGCAGCCCCTCCAACAGTAGTTGGGCATTTCCGGCCGAGGAGGGGCAGTTCAGCGGCAGGTACATGCCCAACTAGGCGCAAGGTGTTCAGCGATTTGCCTGCCTCGGTGATCGACTCGGATGACGAGGAAGCGCTCGCCGCGCTGCTGGAGGAGGAAGCCGAGGCCGACGTCCAGGAAGAAGAGCATGTCATGGTGCTCGCCGCCCTGGCCCAGCTGCTGGCGAGCAATGAAAAGCCGCGACGAGGTGGCTCGGCGCCGGGGCGGGTGAAAGCAAAGAACCGGCATCGTCTCGAAGGCTACTGCATGCTCTACTCCGACTACTTCGCCGATGCTCCACTTCACGGCGAGAAAACATTTCGGCGCCGTTATCGGATGAGCCGAAAGCTCTTCCTCAGGATTGTGAATTCCATTTGGGAGTTCGACAACTACTTCAAGTGCAAGATGGATTGCACCGGCGCCCTTGGATTCACCTCCATTCAGAAGTGCACGACAGCGATGAGGATGCTTGCATACGGAGCTCCTGGTGATTCACTTGATGACTATGGGCGCATGGCCGAGTCTACCAGCATAGAGTGTTTCTACAAGTTCTGTCGGGCAGTGGTGGCAGTGTTTGGACCGCAATACTTGAGAACACCCAATGCGAAAGACACTGCTCGGATCCTAGCACAGAATGCAGCAAGAGGATTTCCTGGGATGCTTGGAAGCATCAACTGCATGCATTGAAAATGGAAGAATTGCCCATTTTCTTGGCAGGGGATGTACAAAGGCGCCAAAGGCGGTTGCAGTGTAGTACTTGAGGCTGTGGCCACACCAGACCTCTGGATTTGGCACTCTTTCTTTGGCATGCCAGGAATTCACAATGACATCAACGTGTTGTAGTGTTCTCCTGTCTTTGCCAAGCTTGTTGAAGGTTATTCTCCTCCGGTGAACTTCAAAATCAATGGGCGGCACTACAACAAAGGGTACTATCTAGCTGATGGCATCTATCTGAGATGATCGATATTTGTGAAGATGATCTCAAACCCTGTGGCAGGAGGCAAGAATGCCTGGTTTGCGAAGATTCATGAGGCTTGCAGGAAGGATGTCGAGCGGGCATTTGGTGTGCTCCAATCTCGATTTGCTGTTGTCCGGTACCCCGCTCAGACCTGGTCCAAAGATCAAATGTGGGAGATTATGACTTGCTGTGTCATCTTGCACAACATGATCATCGAGAGCGAGCAAGAAGACCCAGTGTTTGACACTGAACCATACTACAGGCAGGGTCCTCTAGCCGAAGTTGATCACCAGCTACCGGCAACCTGGACTGCCTATCTCAGTATGCGTCAGGAGATCCGAGACCCACAGGTGCATCATCAACTACAGAAAGATCTGATTGAGCACCTATGGAGGCTCAAGGGGGACGCCGTGTGATGAAATATGAGTTTTTATTTGATGAACTATATAATTTGTATTGAACTATTTGTTGTTGTACTATTTTGTTGAAGTATTTGATTTTTCTATGATGAAATATGTAATAAGAAAAAATTGTGTTGATAATTGAACGCCGAGAGACGGCAAACCACGTTGAATATGAGCCTATTCTCGCCCATATGGGCCCTTTATTCGCCGAAATGGAGCTGAAAAGTGGGCCAATTTCGGCGACCGGGGGCGAGCTGGGGGCGACGACTGAGCGCAAAACCGCCCCCAGCGCCGATAGTATCACCGGCTCGCCCCCAGGGGGCGATTTTTATGCGTCCTGGGGGGAGGGGGGCAACGGCTGGAGATGCTCTAACAAATATTTGCACGCAACAGATCAACTAACTGATTTTACACTTTGGTGTCTCATGAATTCAGATTATTGTTTCATTAATGCAGATTATTTTTTTAATGAGATGCGTTTTTGATCGATAGTGAGGCGTCCATGATGACTTGGTTAATTTTCAAAAGGTGAGACCGTGAGTCAGGCTGATGAGCAAAGATGCCATATCTAATGAAATGGTTACCAACCAGGAAACTTCAATTAGTGGAGCTAGCTAGCTATAATATTTGATTTTGGGATTTGGAAGAGATGCACCGGTGGCCTCCATTTTACAAAACCCCTTCTCCACCGGTGAAGAAGGAAACATGGGAGGCCACACCGTGCATTTCTTCGATCTTACTCACGGGAGTACATCGCAGGAGTAATCTCGATAGTACCGCTAATGCTACTACTATTACTACACCATCAACTGCAGCCAATTACTACTTGCTAATCCTTAATCACGTCGCCGATCTACTAATTAAAAACTGCACGCCATGCCATGCATGCTGGGCTTGGTACATATCCGACCGAGTGATCATTCATGCGTCGCTCCACGCGGCGAACATGGGCATGTGAGCGATGGAAACGGCGGCCGGCCTCGCCGACGACGCCCAGGAACCCAGCGGCGCCAGAGTGCTCATCAGCTTCGGGGACGCCGCCGTTGTCGTGGCCGGCTGCTGCGGCGGCTTGGCGAAGAGCATAGACAGGCCACCGCCCCGGTCTGGGCTCTCCTCGCGGGAGTTGCTCAGGCTCGTCACCAGCGACGATGCGCCCGACATCGACATGTGCACGCGCGCGCCGTTGCCGCCCTGCGCGGTGTGGCCGTCCACGGTGACCAGGTCGTGCAGCGCCGAGAAGGCCTCGCCCGAGGACATGACGTCCTGGTTTCGGTGCTGGCCGCTGCCGCCGGTGTCCGTCCCCGGAGTAGACACGGGCACCAGGGCAGAGGCGGCGCAGTCGTCGGGGGCGGGGAGGGGCAGGGGCGCGGCGTTGGCGTCCTTGTTGCGCCTGGCGAGCTCGCCCGGGAGGAGCGTGTTGCTAGCCATGATCTTGTCGACGTCGTAGCGGGTGATGTCGAAGTTGGTGACGGCGTTGAGTCCCCGGAACTTGATGGCGGCGATGTCGTACGCCTCCGCGGCCTCCTCCTGGGTGCCTGCAACCACGCGCGCCCATCATTGAAACGTACTACGTATACACAGCTACTGCACAATGCACATGCATGCAAAAATAATTGGATATGGAACGATCTCAAGTCTGGACAACTCTGAAGTCTGAACAAAGGAAGGAAACGCGCGGCGCGGCCGCGCGTCGTCATGATGACTGGCTGCCGCCATGGTCAAAGGTAGACGACGGCGACGAGGCATGCAAAAGCCGGAGAGCGCGCGTGCGATTTGGGACAGTGCGAAAACTAGGAAAGGCCAGCCTTATGCAAAAGCGAGCGAGAGAGAATCGGTCACGCATGCACAGGACCATACACA